CCTTAACAAATTGACCAAGCTTTAGTTTACCAACAATAATTAATGCATGTCCTTGCCTGAAATTGTTCCCGTTCATTTGCCACCCTCTTTAAAGACACTAGGCAACACTCAAATCGCCACCATGACTACACTTTAGAGGTTCGACAAGGCGCTGGATGCTGTGGCTCTTGCTAGTAACATCAGCGACCAGTAAGAAGGAGCAGGCTTGTCCGAGGTCATGCGCCAACTGATACAGATTGCCTGAGTGTTATGTGTCAATGCTAGTCGCTTGATTTGACACCATGCCCCCAGAAGCATTTGGGCTTGCGTAAAAATACACTCCTAGATGCAATAAAGGAAGGCTATTTGACAATATCATTGATGTTTGCTTTAGATGTTTAAAAGGGAAGCATCGGAAGCGATACTGCTTCCAACAATAAATGGAACTAAGAATTTGCTGGGATTTAGACTAGTGAAATAGGCTCATCCATTTGGAAACGCTTTTCTTGATCAAAGGAAACAATATCCTGAAAAGTAAAGCTAGCCAATACAGATCAAATAATTTTCTACTTAGAGCATAGTCAACTAAAGTGCATTGTCAAAAGCCTTTTTCAAGTACACTTCTATTACAAGCGTACACCATTACATAATCCAGCATATAGGGGGACATTAGTGTCGTGTATTCAATGTTTTATTGTTTAATCACATTGAAAATTAAAATTTATGTTAAAACCTTCAGCGGAGGAAAATACGAGCCATAAGTGTGTGCGATTTTTTCAAACACATTCCAATTTGTACCATTGGGAACCAACCAATTGCATTCTTCAGTCTTGAGTCCTGAAAAATTTATTCTAATGATAGGAATTTGTATGAACCGAATTATATATGATCACAAGACAAAAAAACAATAAATCAGAATAGTTCAAAGTTTATCTTAAGAAACCCTACTAATGGGAATAATCCGATGATCACGCAAACCTATTCATCATCCACCTCATGATTTAGTTTATCCAACTCTCGGATTTATGATGTGAGTCGACTGCTGATGAATTTTGATGCACGGCATTTTGGCATCTATATAACAAAGACGGATTCAATGATAAAAGGCTCACAAAATGCCGATTTAAAAAAAATAAACTAGACTGATTAGTATATTCGTCGTATCATACCAACCATTGCAACTTGCTATTATTTATGACTCGCTTGCTTTTCTATTCCATACCATACAGGCAACCGATATGTGGAACTTTTTTCTGCGCTTTAGTTCCTTCTTATCTGGATGTGGGTAATTCCAAGGATACAAATTTCGGTTTTTCCAATTAATTTATTGTGTCTACTGTCAAATAGGGCTACTCTCTTGGATTACATTTTCCTCTAGGGGTAGAACAGCCATCATTATGTGATTGCATTCTTTATTAATAAGCTAAAGTAGTGTGAAAGAACACAGCACTTACTAATGTGTAGGTAGTGAGGAAGCTATTACCGTGACTTGATTGCCATACCGCCAATTTAAGCCATAGTTTGCATATGCGGAAGTAAACATTTGGTTGATAGCATGGACAGTCATTACTGCCAAGGCACTTTGCTTTCACCTTTAGTAAGACAACCACAAATGAATAGGCTTTGACTGTTTTCTTATGTTTGTTGTACTCCTTTTTCATCCTGACCAAAATGCTGCATTAAAGGAATCAATGCTGCTCATGTCTAAGATTATCAACAAACAAAGCGTTTAGGTGTTAGTCGCAACGCCAATCCACATTCCTCAAAAAATGTGTATGGACATGTACATTCTAGTTCTCTCATGAGATGTCAACTCACGTCCAGAAGAAAGGATGGTGCAGCAATTAGTGGTCTCGAGCATTGTGCTAGTCTTCTATGGATATTACATTCGATCGCATTATATTATTGTCTTCTCTGATATGATTTTTTTCAATGCACTGCCATTGCCAAAAATGCACCTTTATTTTATGAAGCTCAGACACAGTGGCAGCCTGTCTACAATATAAAGCGTGTTAGAGCCGGTATTTGGCTTTGCAGGAATAAGTGCCTGATACTTAAACCTGGAATTACCTTGGTTGATAAACATAGTGTTGCTAAATGCCTAAAGAACTTTCCCGTCTGGCATTGCACTTTATTACAAAATAAATGAATATGACAAAGTGTAGCAAGGAGATGTACAATGCCTCTTTTACTAGTGCATTACATTTACTTACCTTTTGAGCATT